TCCCGAGCCGGAGACCACAGGTAACGGGGAGGCTTGGTCTTTGGATGCGGATAGGGAGTGTAAAATGGCTCCTTTTTCCATCCCCCTTTCCTTCTCCCCTCCGTCCTTCCTTTCTTCTCCCCTCCCAGCCCATCCACCTCGCCACCAGCACACTCAACTCAGCCCGCCAGATGCTCTCCATCCTTGTTAAAAAAAAAAAGCAAAAAAAAAAAGCTCTTCCCATTGTCTTTCTGGAGGTGCTGGCGTCCCTCCGTCCTTCCCCCTTGTTTTGTTAGCACGGGTGGGATTCATTTTGTCTTGTTCGGGTGCCTTTGAGTGCTGAAAGTGCTGACCCCCCATCCCCTTTTTGTTTTATTTTTTTTTAGCAGGATGGAAAAACCACCCGGGAAAATAAAATGAAGCAGGATGAGCTGCCAGGGAAAAAAAAAAAAAATGTAGGAGGGATCCGCGGTGGTGCGCCTGAAATCGCCCTTTTATTCCTGACATCAGTAAGTCGGGTACAGCCTGCCCCAAACCTTTCTTTCTGTCCCCCCCGTCAGTCCTCCCTTCTCCATCCTCTGCTGGAAAATAGAAATAAAGCGGGATCCGAAATGCTCCTCGCAGAGGAGGATGAGCAAAAGGAGGGAGGAGTGGGAGCAATTTGTTTTTTTAAATGATTTTGCAGCAGAGAGCGCCAAACCTGGTTCCTCTGCTTGGGAAAAGTCACATTTTCCCCCCAGAATTGTTAGAAATGGTGCTGAGCACCCGAAATTTGTGTTTCCTCAGGGCACGGTAGAGAAATATCTGTAATTCATCCTTTTTTGCAGGGGTGGGGAGCAATTGCTGTGTGTTTTTGGGGGGGCCAAAAATGAAAAGTTTGGGACAGGAATCTTGATGAAGGTGAAGGAACCCATGGAGGAGCACTCAGGATTTCAGGATTTGGTACAGTAGGAATTAGCTTTGATATGATTTGAGTGAAAAATCACCCAAAAACTGCTGTGAAAGTGTGTGGACTGGGAAGTGTGCACGGAGCATGGCTTGGACCTGTTCCACCTACTAGAAAGCAAACTCTTGCATCCAGTAATTCAGCCGCTCGGATTTAAGTGCTTCTAACCTAATTGTCTGCTACCCTCGGAAAAATATCTGCATCTATATTAAAAATAAAAAAATAAAAGGATTTGGCTGAGTTATTGAGCGTAGAGTCTGCTCGTGCAGTAAAAAAAATGAATTTCTGGTGATGAGTGATGCTATCCGTGATGTATCAGTTTGTTTTAGGGTGAGGGTGTTGTCTGCAGGTTACTGAAATATGGAATGTTAATGGAATATGGGGTTTATTTTTATTTTTATTTTATTTTTATATTTTTTTTAAGAATTATGCTGAGAGATCTGGGAAAATAAGCGGTGGATTAAGGGATAGAGGCTTATCAGCCCCCAGTTTTGTGATGCGGTGAGGGCTCAGCCTTTCTATCAGCCAGCAGAGAATCCACAGGTTAATAAAACGGGGGGTTTTGCATGAAAATCCTTGGGGTTGGTTGTTGCTGATGGGGGGTGTCACGTCCTTATCGTAGGGGGGGTCTCGAGAGGCCGGCCATGGAGCCCTACGTGCTGCTGGACCCGCGACAGCGAGCGCTGTATCGCGACGTGATGCAGGAGAGCTACGAGACGCTGATGGCGCTGGGTGAGGAGACCCCAAAATAATGGAGAAAATTTGGGGATGGGACAAATATCCGAATATGGGGACAGGATTTGGGTCACTGGATCCTCTCATCTTCATGCAAGGGGCTGGGGGGCTCCTGAGGAGGGCTGCTGATCCATGTTTCTCCTTTTTTTTTTTCCAGAATTCCCCGTTTCCAAGCCCGACCTGCTGTCCCGCCTGGCCCACGAGGATGAACCAAGAGCCCTGGATCTCCACGTCCCCAAGGACGCCCCGTCTGGAGGTGAGCCCCCCGCATAGCGCCGGGGTCGTGGCACAAAAAAAAATGGGGTTGGCTCCTGCTGGTGGCTTTCCCCCACCTGTGGACACCTCCCCGAAATGGAAAAAGATGCTGGGAAGGCCCGAGTGCAATGCCAGGGGGATGTCCTGGCCGAAATGGAAATGCCAAAGCCCCTCTGCAGTCAGCTGAGGGGATTTTTGGGGTGGTCCAGAGAGAAATGGTGGGTGCGGTGGAGGTGATGGTGATTTAATTATTGCATTTGTGCTGCTGGCAGGGGGGTGGGATGGGGATGGGCTCCCATGGGGATCCTTCCCCTAGAGGTGAAGCTGGAGGAAAACGTGAAATAAAACGTGAAATAAACGTGAAATTTCACGTTTTCCTGGAGGAAAACGTGAAATAAAACGAGGAGGAATCCCCCCCTGCCCTCCGTTTCATCTCCCCAGCCCCGGCAGAGACAAAATCTGCCTGGGTCGCGTCTCTTTTTTTTTCCCTGTGCCCCACAGAGGACAGAGCACGAGCGGAGCAGGAACTCCCCCGAGAAGAAACTGCCGAGAAAGAGCCCGAAGCCTCAAAACCCACGGGTGAGGAGCATCCCTCGAGCCCCGCCGAGGTGAAGGCGGGCAGGAGCGGGGAAGCCCCGCCGCAGCGAGCCCCCCAGCCCGGCACCACGTGCGGCGAGTGCGGCAAGAGCTTTCAGCCACAAATCGGCCCTGGTGAAACACCAAAAAATCCACAGCGGCGACCGGGCCCCACGAGTGCCCCGACTGCGGCAAGGGCTTCATCCAACGCTCCGACCTCACCATCCACCAGCGGGTCCACACGGGCGAGCGGCCCTACGCCTGCCCCGATTGCGGCCGCCGCTTCAGCGTCAGCTCCTCGCTCCTCACCCACCAGCGCACCACGCTCCCGGCGGCCAAAAAACCCAACCGCTGCCCCCAGTTGCGGCCGCAGCTTCGCTGACCCGGGGGCTCTCGACCGGCACCAGAAGAGCCACTTGGGGGGGAAACCCTACGAGTGCGGGGTGTGCGGCAAAGCCTTCGCCTGGAGCTCCCACCTCGAGCGCCACCGGCGCATCCACACGGGGAAAAGCCTTTCCAGTGCGCCCAGTGCGGGCGAGCCTTCGCTTGGAGCTTCCCACCTCGACCGCCACATGCGCACCCACGCCGCCGCCGCCTCCGAGGAGGAGGAGGAGGAGGGTGAGGAAGAGTGAAGGAGGATGAAGAACCCCCCGCCGCCGCCCCCCAGAAATGCGCCGACTGCGGCAAGCGCCTCAACCACCAGACGGACCCGCAGCGCTTCAAGCACAAGGGCACCCAGACGTCACCGGTGGGGGACGACCCCCTCAGCAGCCCCCCCGCGGCCCTAACCGCTGCGAGCAAGTGCGGCAAAAGCTTCGGCCAACAGCTCCAACCTCCTCAAACACCAGCGCGGTCCACACGGGCGAGCGGCCCTACCCCCTGCCCCCGATTGCCAACGCTGCTTCCGTTGGGGCTCGGCTTGGCCAAACACCGGCGCACCCACGCCCGGCAGCAACAGGTTGCCAAAAGATGCGCCGAGGGAAAAGCGGCACCGGGGGAAAACCCTACCCGTGCGGGGCTTGCGGGAAGAGTTTCGGCGGGGTCTCGCACCTGGAGCGCCACCGGCGCATCCACACGGGGGAGAAACCTTTCCGCTGCGGGGAATGCGGGCGAGCTTTCGCCGTCAGCTCCCACCTGGAGCGGCACCGGCGGGTGCCACACGGGCGAGCGGCCCTACCGCTGCGGCGACTGCGGCAAGAGCTTCGGCCGTCAGCTCCACTTTGCTTGCCCACCGCCGCACCCACGTCGCCCAAGCGGGCCGGCCCCCACGCTTGTCCCGAGTGTGGCAAAGGGTTCAGCACCCCGCTGAGCTTGGAGAGGCACCGGCGGCTCCACCCGCGGCGAAAAAACCCTACCAGTGCGGCGTCTGCGGCAGGGTTTCGCCTGGAGCTCCCACTTCGACCGGCACCGGCTCACCCACACGGGCGAGAAGCCTTTTCCTGCGCCCACTGCGGCAAACGCTTCGGCCGCAGCTCGCACCGCAACCGGCACCAGCGGGCTCACGGCGTGGGGGGGGGGGGCCCGAAAAGCGCGCCACGGTTGCCCCCAGTGCGGCAAAACCTTCGGCCTCGCCGCCGCCCTGGCGGCTCACAACGACTGCACGTCGCCCGCCGGCAGCGGGCTCTCCTTGCTGCCGCACCTCCTGGTGGATGGAGAGAAGCCGGGGGGCACGCCGACACCCCCCGAGCTCTGGGCGGAGGAGACCGGCTCCGTTTTCCAGCAGCACCCAGTGCCTTCCTCCTCCTCATCCTCCCTCGTCTCCTCTTCCTCCTCCACGGCACCTAAAGTCTGGGCTGCCAAAGCTCTATGCCCCCCAGCGTGGCGTGGAGACCTGGGGAGGGGGACGCCCTGCAAAGCGGATTGCAGCGGCCCCCCAAGAGCCTTGGGCGTCCCCTGCCGCCCCCAGCTCCTGTGAGAGGGGGGCAGAATTTGGGGTTGGGGGTGGGGGACAGAGCCACCCCTGCTTTTTGGGATGCTCCAGAGCTGGGGTGGGGTCCCCCATCCTCTGGAAGGGGGTATGTAAAGGGGATGTTTGGGAGCTGGGGGGGGGTCCAGGACACCCTGGGGTGTGTTTTGGGGGGGTTAGGATGGAACTGAGGGGGATGAAGTGGGGAGAGGGGGCACACAGAGGGAGAATGGGGTGAGGGGTGGATTTGGGGAGGGCTGGCTGATCACCCTATAGCCCTTTCCATCCTCTGTTTTGGGGGGGTTTGGGTGCACGGGAGGGGATCAGCAGCAAAAATAAACAGGGTTCACTGCGGGGACCCCCTGCCATGGGGGGATTTTGGGGAGAAACGGCTCGGGAAAGAGAAAAAGGGACCGCCCCAACTGCCCCAAATATGCTTGGGTCACACCGGAGCCGGTTTGGGATGCGCCGGGGGGCTCGGGCAGGGATGGAGAGGCTGGCTTAGCGGGTAATAAAATAAAGGGTAGTTCACCAAAAACCCCCTCTCTGTGTGTCTCGATGTCTTTTATCCCCGGAGCACGATTTCCCAGCAAGCCCAGCTCCTAACTGGGGGATTTTTCCCAGTAGGATCCAACCCTAACCACATCCCACAGGCTCCACGTGCTTTAAAACCCCTCCACACATTTCCCACTGGGGGCGGCGATGGGATTTGGGGTTAGCAATGGGATTTGGGGTTGTGGTGCAAGGAGAGCCAGGCACAGCTGGCTGTAGGGCATGGGATTTACATTTTTCCCCTCTTTCCCCCCCAAAAATCTCCCTCCCCGCTTGCTGCACCCTCAAGGTCTGGTTTATCCCCACGGTTTCCCCGTCTCCAGCCCCAAAAAGCAGACCCGAGATGGAGCAGGCACAAATAACCACGTATTTTTGGCACAAGGACAGCCCCAGCAACCCACGTCGACCCTTCCCAATGCAATAGGGCACCGTGTGTCCCCTGGGAAGGGGTTTCATGTCCCCAAAAACGTCCCTTTTTTGAGTCCCCAGCACCAAGGGTGCACACAACGTTCCCCCAGCGCTTCTAGGAGACATCAGGAAGGAGAAACCCCGATGGAAAGAGGGTCGATGAAAAAGTGTCCCTTGCTGTCCTTTGCCTCGTCCCCATCCCAAAGTTTTCTTTCGGGGTCCTTCATTGCTCCTTTCCGCTGCAGTCCCCGGGCGGATTCGCCAACCCCACGGCGCAGCAGGGGCGCAGCGAGGGGCTTTCCCCCCACCGGCTGGGTCCTTGAGGAATGGGAGAAATCCACTTTGGGGAGGTGGCTGCGGCGGTGCTTGGTGAGGTGGGAGCTCTGGCTGAAGGCTTCGCCGCACTCGGGGCACTCGTAGGGTTTTTCCCCGGTGTGGACGCGGCGGTGGCGCTCCAGGTGGGATGCCCAGGCGAAACCCTTGCCGCACTCCCCGCACGTGTAGCTCTTCTGCGCCGCGTGGCCCCGCTGGTGGGCGAGGAAAGGGGGGGCCTCCCCGAAACGCTTCCCGCACTCCCCGCATTTATAGGGCCGGTCGGGGGAGTGGGTTTTAGCGGTGCTGGAGGAGGTGGGCTTTTTGGGCGAAGCGCTCGCCGCAGCTGCCGCAGGGAAGGGGCGCTCGCCCGTGTGCACCCGCCGGTGCCTCTCCAAATGGGATGCCCAAACGAAACCCTTCCCGCAGTCGCCGCAGCGGTGGGCGCGCTCTCGCCGGTGACCCCGTTGGTGCCTTGCCAGGGCCGGCCCCGCGCGGAAAAGCTTGCCGCAATCCCCGCAGCGCAAAGCTTTTTTCCCCAAATGGGTGCGGCGGTGGCGGGCCAGGTCGGAGCTCTGGCCAAAAGTCTTGCCGCACGCCGGGCACCGGTGGGGCCGCTCGCCCGTGTGGCTACGGCGATGCTTGGCCAAGTGGGAACCTTGGGTGAAAGCTTCGCCGCACTCGGGGCACCCAAAGGGTTTTTCCCCAGTGTGGACGCGGCGGTGGCGGGCGAGGTGGGAAGCCCAAACGAAGCCTTTGCCGCAGTCGCCGCATTTGTGGGGTTTTTTCGGCCCGCGTGGCCCCGGCCGTGCGCCGCCAGCTCGGCCGCCCCGGCGAAACGCTTGCCGCACTCGCCGCATTTATGGGGCCGGTCGCTGGCGTGGGTGCGGCGGTGCTGGAGGAGGTGGGAGCTTTGGCTGTAGGTCTCGCCGCATTCGGGGCAGCCGAAAGGCCGCTCGCCCGTGTGCACCCGCCGGTGCCGCTCCAAGTGCGAAGCCCACGGGAAGCTTTTCCCGCAGTCGGCACAGCCGTAGGGTCGCTCCCGTGCCGAGCCCTTGCCGCTTGCACCCCCCCGGAGGGGTTTGGCGCAGTCTAATTTGGGGGCCGGGGTGGTTTTGGGGAGTTTGGTGAGGCCGTGGGGTACGGCTTTGTCGGGCCGTTTGGTTTTCCTCCGGTTGGAGCCCAAAGTTTTGGCCCTCTCCGGGCTGCGGGACGGGCGCGCTTCGAGCTCCTCGGGGATCTGCTCGGCGGCGCCTTCCTCCGCGGCTTTTTCGCTCACCAGCCCCTGAGCTGCTGAGGAGATTGGGGAGGAAAAAGGAAAAAAAAAGGGGAGAGCGTGGCTTCAACTGGAGCAAGGGGGGGCATTTAAATAAATGGAGCAGGTTTCCCCTATAAATTTGGTGTCCCGAAGGGGAAAAAGAGAGGAGGAAGGAATTGGGGACATGGATACGCATGAGTACCCCACGAGCTCTTTTCCAATTAATTAACATGCAGAAACCCATATTTTTTTTCCAATTAATTAACATGCAGAAACCCATAATTTTTTATTTTAAAAGAGGAAAATATTAAGGAAAACACCGGGGTTTTGGGGAACCCCCCCTTGAAACCCTCCTGGATTCCTCCCTCCCCGTTCCCGTCCCGCTTCCTTGCCCTTTGGGGAAGGGGGAAATAAAACTAGGGCGGGGTGAAAAGGGATTGGGGTGCTCGAGGAGAAAAAGAGGGGATCGGGATGGGGGTGGGGGGGTTGTTTTTACCAAGGGACATCAGCGTTTCGTAGCTCTCCTGCATCACGTCCCGGTACAGCGCCTTCTGCCGCGGGTCCAGCATCACCCAGGGCTCCATGGCACGGGGGGGGGACACGGGAACAAAGATTTGTGCCGCCCCTCCTCGCTCACAGCCCCTTAAAACCTCCTGCGGGGAAGAGAAATCCCTAAAACGGGGGGAAATCCCCCAGAAACGCTTCTCACTTGGGGTTTTGATGCTTTTCCCGGGCTGAATTTGGGGTTTTCTCTCTCCCTCTCGCAGCGCACGCAGGGTCCCCCCCCGCATAGGATTAAACCCCCCCCAGGGGGGCAGGAGGGTCCCCACTGCCTCGACAGGGATTTGGGGGAAGAAATGATGAAATCGGAGCTTCTGCAGACGGCTGCAAAGGGGGCAAAGGAGGTTTGGGGGGCAGAGTTCTCCCCATAATAATTCCATGTCCCTCCCCATAATAAAACTTCGCCCTCGAAATCTTCCCCCCTAAAAATATTCCCCCCCCACCCCCCACCCCATTTTCCCACCAAACCACATCCCACACCCTCTGCCTTCCTCCCCCCACCATCCCAGTTCCCCCAGTCCCCATCCCACTGGGAATCGGCCCTCCCGGACTGACAGCACCCTAGGGGGGGGTGTCCAGATCCCATTAACTGCCCCCCCCACCATCCTCTCCCCCCAAAAAATTCCGCTCCCCCCAGCGGACACCCCCAAGGGCCACGTCCTGCAACCTCCGACCCCTTTCCACCCCGTTACCTGTGAGCTCTGCCCTTCACCGGGGGGAAACTTCCCCCCCCTACACCGCCACCCCAATGCTTTTTAGGGTGTTTTTGGGGTGCGTGGACCCCCCCGACAGCGGGGCACAATGGAGGCGATGCCGGGCATGGCTTTGCTCCGGAAGCCCAAGCCGGTATCCGGCAGAAAGGAGACGCCAAGAAAAAGCTCAGATCTTACCCAGAGCCCTCTAGAGGTAACCCAAACCCGGCTCCCCCCCCCCATAAACATCCCACTGTCCCTAAATACCCGGGGGGGGGTCACACACGGGGCCTGCTCCGTCACCTCCTTTCCCCAAATATCTCCAATGTGTTTTTTGGGGGACCCCCGGCTCCTCAGCCCAGCCAAAATCCCAGCTTCTGGGTCCTTAAGGGTTTTTTTTTGGGGGGGGGGTTTGCAAGTTTGGGGTGCAGCGGGGGAATGGGGTGAGATGGGACAGGAGGGACACGGGGGGGTGGTTGCACTGTTGGTGTTGCTGGGGGCAAGAAATTGGGGGTTTTGCCTAGAAATGGGGACCCAAATTGGGGGGGGGGGGGGTGATAAAATTGTTAAATTATGGGATTAAGGAAAGGAAAAGCTGCTTCCCCCCCCCCCCCCCCCCCCCATCATCTTTTGGGGTCTGTAAGAGGAAGGATAAAATGGGGAAGGGGCTCAGGGTGAACTGGGGTGGACTGGGGGGCAACTGGGATTTTAAAGGGTATGGGCGGGGTACAGTTTAGCTATGGGGTGCCAGCATATGGGACACGTGCCACGTATTGAGGGGGGGCACCATAGGTCCCATTGCGTGCCATATGGCCCAGGACCCCCTCAAAATAGGGGGCAGCACCCCAAAAATTGGCTTATGGGGGGGGAATGGGGGTGAGATATGGAGCTGGGTGGCATCCCAGGGATTATGGGGACACCAATCCCATTGTCACCCCGAGGAGATCGGGGCTCGGGGGGGGACACCAGACCCCCTATTTTCATCAGCTGGTAGGCAAAAACAACTTGTTTCCCCCCCAAAAAATATATTTAAATTATTATTTTTTAATTATTCTTATTTTTTGGCGATTTAACCCCTCCCTGGGTGGGAAAGCAGCGATTTTCCTTTTAATTTCCTTCACCCAGGGCTTGGGGCTGGGGGATTATCCTAAATCCTGCCCCCTCCCTAACGCACAGGCATTTAACCCCTTCCTCCCCGGGGCCGGTTGCTGCAACCTCCCCCTTCTTCCCCCCTCCCCATCCCTCCTCAGCAGTGGATGGATGATCCCAAGGGGTCCAAGCCCTGGTTTTGGGGAGTTTCACATTTAGGGTCTTTGGGATTTGTCTGGGGAACGTGTTTAAGGGGCTCCAGACATTGGCTTTGGCTCTACCCCTGTCCCAGCTCCTAAAACCTCTGCAAAATCACTCCAAACCCAGAAGCCCAGCCCTAAATAAAGAGAATCGGGGGCAAAAAAACTCATTTATCTCCCCAGATCACTAAATAAATGTAATTTTAGGATGTCGGGAGCAATCACCCTGCTTCCAGATGTCCCCAGTGGGGCTTCCAGCCCCTGACCAGACATTTGGTTCGGTCTCAGCTCCCACCAGAGCCTTTTTGGGGCATTTTTTGGCCTCCCACCAGCATCACGGTGGGCAGCTACACATCATCCTACATTTCCAGGATGCTGAAGATGCTCCCTTTTGGAAACCAACCCCAAATACCCCACGTTGGCATCACGGGGCGCTAGGCCCGGTGGCCATCCCTACAGGAACCAAGAAGGCGAGAAAAGCTCCGAGTTTATTTTTTGTTATCATTTTTATTTCTCCTTCACTTTTTTTCTTCGTCTTCTTTCCCCCGGGGCTTAAAACGAGGGAGAAGAGGCAAAACATGGTGGTGAGAGGCGTCCCTCACTGCGTGCTGCGGGGCACGAGGGAGGGAAACCTCCCCCCTCTTCGCCTCACGATCTTCTCGGCGGCGGCCCTCAGCTCCGTGGTGCCGATGAAGGACCCTCGGCGTTGCTTCCTCCAACGATCTGCCTCGCTCACCAGCCCCTCGCTGAAGTTGTCCATGAAGGAGTTCATCAACTTCTTCGCCCTGACCGACATGCGCCCGGCTACCGGTGGCACGAGGCCTGCAGGCCCGGAGAGCCACCTCCAGTTGGATTTCTTCTTCAACTGGGAATTGAGTCCCTTTGGGACTGGTTTCCAGCTCCCCGACCTTCTCTGCTTAATGGGAGGCTTCATCTGCTGGGCTTTCTGCTTCCTCCTCCTCCTCCTCTTTTTTGGGGGCTGCCCTCGTTGCTTGGTGGCTGCGGCCATGGGGTGTCCTTCGGCCTCGGTGGTCCTGACTGCAGGGGGGTCCCGGAGCTTTTTTAGGGGTGGGTACAGGCAAATGAGGGCTCGACACCACAGTTGGCTGGGCGAGACAGGGCTTCTGTGACATGATGCATAATTTGCATAAAGATCTGAGCCAGAAAATCCCACAATTCGGGCAAAGAAAATGCAGAAATACATAAAAACACACAGATATATGTAAAATACATATAGTACATATGCATTTAAATGGCTTAATCCCAAGAAAAGCCTCAAAACATCCACCCCAGATCCACTTGCTTTATTTGAAGGTTAATTCTCGAGGATGAGGAGGGGGAGGAAGGCTCCCAGCGGTGTCAGGATGGCCGAGTGGTCTAAGGCGCCAGACTCAAGGCTCTGCTTTCCCTCCCTGGGGTTTTCTGGTCTCCGAATGGAGGCGTGGGTTCAAATCCCACTTCTGACACACCTTTTCCTTTGCCACCTCAACCCTTTTCGACCCCTCCCGCACGCGGATTAGGGAAAAACGCCGATTTTCCCCCTTTTTTTCGGCGCTAAAACTCGCTGCTGCTCCCATTCCTGCGCCCAGCCCTTTGCACCCACGCGTGGGCGGAGGCCACGAGTGGGTCACGGCGAGGAAATAGGGAGGGAAACGCTGTTTTTGGGGGGGTCCTGGCTGCCGGGGGGGACAAACACGACCCCCATAACCGTGGGCTGGGTCCCCCCGCGATGGGGTCCCGCGTGGGGCCGCGCCGGAGCCGTGCTTTAACGCTTCCCTGGTGGTCTAGTGGTTAGGATTCGGCGCTCTCACCGCCGCGGCCCGGGTTCGATTCCCGGTCAGGGAAACTCCTTTTCCCCCCACCTAAAATTACTTTTTTTTTTTTTTTTTTCTGTAACAACCACAATCTTTTTATTTTATTTTATTTTATTTTATTTTATTTTATTTTATTTTATTTATTTATTTTATTTATTTTATTTTATTTTATTTTATTTTATTTATTTATTTCATTTCGTTTCATTTCGTTTCATTTATTTTATTTATTTCATTTATTTCATTTCATTTTATTTCATTTTATTTTAATTTTATTTATTTTATTTTATTTATTTCATTTAGTTTCATTTTATTTTATTTATTTTATTTTATTTCATTTCATTTCATTTTTCCTCAAATTCAACCCTAGAAGCACACACTCACGCTCTCACATTCACCATCTAAAACCATCATGACCCCGCTGATTTTTCTTTCTAAGAATCACTGCTTTAATTGCCATGTCTAATATCCCGACGAGGGCAGGGCCGGGCTGTCACCACCGCTATCCTGGGGCAGTTTAGGGTGTTGTGACATTTTCCCTGCACATTCAGGGATTCAAATCATCGCAATTTATAGAGTCAGGTGCATGTAAGCATCACCTTGCAGTAATGAGGATGGAAACTTTAGGGAAGTGGTGGAGTCACCATCCCTGGGGGGCTTTAAAAGATATTTAGATGTAGAGTTTAGTGATATGGTTTAGTGGAGGACTTGTTAGTGTTAGGTCAGAGGTTGAACTCGATGATCTTGAGGTCTCTTCCGACCTAGAAATTCTCTGATTGTGTGAAACATTTATTTTTCTCATATAACACCTACAGACTCAAGTAATGAGTCAACTACTCACTAATAGTCAACTACTCACTAATAGTCAACTACTCACTAATGAAATTATGAACCTCATGATAAAAAACAAACAAAAAACCACTCTGACACCACCAAATGCTGCCAATTTTGTGCTTTATTGCAGTGCTGATTTTAATATCTCCTTCCCTGCAGGCCTTCCACCACACGCTGGTGGTCGCACAGATCTTGACAGCAGCTTTTCAGTTTTTTGCTCCCTCTCCTTGGGCCTTTGGATCTTGCTCCCGAGGGGTTCGAGGAAGGGGGGAGCAGGGGGAGGGCCTCGCTTTTTAGTGCCCGCTTCTCGCGGCCACGCCGGTCGCCTGCCTGAACCTCTTCGGCATCACGCGGCGGAGGGCGGCTTGGACGTGCGAGGGGCCTGCGACGGGATGGCGGCTCTCCCTCCTCAGCCGGTCGGCCTCCTTTGAAACCTGCTGGTAGACGTCGTGCAGGAAGCTCACCATCAGCCCCTTGGCCTCGCGGGACAGGAGCTTGCCGTCTCGCTTCATCTGGCTGAGGGCCTTGGCCCCGAGGGGGTTGAAGGAGCCTTTGGCGGCCGCTTTCTTCTGCGGCTTCGTGGGTTTTCGCTTCGCCTTCCCGTGGGCCTTGCTGGGCTTGGGTGGAGGTCTCCTGCCATGAGTCTTCGGCCTCCTCCTTTGCTGGGGTTGCCTCCTCTTTTGGGATTGCTTTCTTCCCTTGGCGGACACCATGGCTCAACCCTGCCCTGCCTGGACCCCTCGAACCTGCAACTGCCTCAGCCCACCCCCTTTTAAGCAAATTAGGGACAGGACCGAGCCCCCCCATTGGCCCACAGAACAATGCCCCCAACGCTTCACAATGGAATGATGCAGGTCACTGCCCCCCCCAGTCCCCCAGGTATCCTGGGACCCCAAAAGCCCCCCCATGTCCCCCACCCCTTTGACCCACCATGATGTTAAACCCCAATAACAGCACAAATCGCAGCATAAATCTTCCACTTCACAAAAAAATGAGCATTTCACAGAATCACAGAATTTCTAGGTTGGAAGAGACCTCAGGATCATCGAGTCCATTTCTTTTCGGGGTGGGGGCAGGAAGATCAACCCCATCCCCAAAAGCTTGCTCCATCCACGCCAGGGGAGGTTTCTGGCTGAGCAGGAAACAAAGGAAAATAAAATCCTTTGGAAGAACATCTCTCCTTGGCTCAGACCGCCAGCAAATCTGCCTGCCAGCTGCGAGACGATGACTAATTACTTAATGAGTCCACCCAGATCCACCTTTGGTGGTTTCACACCAATGGCCAGCTAAGCTCCGGGGCTAGCCGAGCCTTATTAAATCAGGGAGATCGCTCGAGCGATTGCTGTCACGAGCAAAACAGACTCAGCAGAAGGCTGATGAATGGAATTTATTGCTTGCTAATAACAGGCTGCAGCAGTGGGGACTCAAAGCACACCAAAACCAACTTCTGCCCCATCCGCCCTCTTCTGCCTGCTCCCAAAACCCGATAAAGTCCCCAGATTTTTCCTCTCCAGTGCAGCTCTTTTTTTTCACACCCACGTGGAAATGCACACGCTCATCACCTCCATTTTCTCAGATGCTCAAACCCCCCTGCGTGCTATGTCCTGTACCAGCTCCAAACCCTCCAAACCCTGATTTTCTCTCAAAAAACAAACAAACAAACAAACAAACAAACAAACAAAAAAAAACAAAAAACAAAAAACAAAACACTGTTAAAACCATAAGGCAATTATTTGGAATAATTTAATTATTTCTTCACCCTACTCAATGCTCTGAGTATTTGATGCTCCTCCAGCACCTACAAATTGCATTTCAGCCATGAAAAAGAAGTCCTTAAAATATATCCGCTCGTCCCAGTCCTGTTTGCTGACCCGGAGCAATAACTCAGTATAAATTCTTGCTCACAAAAGGCAGAAATTAGCATGAGACAGATGCCAGCAAAGAGCTGGAGGGGAAAATAAATGGATATAAAACATAAATGGGCAGTGCAAGGATGGATACATGGTCCGAAGCTCCAGACTCGAGGCTCTGCCTGGCCTTCCCTGGGGATTTCTGCTCTGGGAATGGGTTCACGGATGCCATTCCTCCTTCTCATGCACCTTTTCTCACCTTTGGCCATGGATGGGAAATCCCCATCATAAAGCAGTGAGCTGGTATTTGCAGGAAATCCCCCCCCAAGCTTAATCAATCTTTTGGGGGGTCATAAATTTAGAATATGCTCCCTGGGCACAAAATAATGTGCTTTTCCCATACGTCCCATGAACCCACAGCACGAGCAGCTCCAGCATCACAGCCCTTAGGGTCTCTGCTCATCCCCTCCTGCAGCCTGGCTGGTTTAAAACAATTCTCCCTTCTAATTTATCCAAATTCCCTTTGGATCCCTTATTTCGTTCCTATGGACTAAATACCCAGAGCTGCAATGGGGGGGGATGGGGGGGGGAGCAAAGCCAAGGCAAGCAGTTGCATGAGAGAATGAAGCAAGTTGAAATTTCATTTTTTTTAAGCAAAGTTCTCCATTTTGTACCATTCCCCTGAATTCTTACTCAATGTCTCACGACAAAGAGGTTGCTGTAATGAGAAGGAAGAAACCCAGTGACACCCGGGCCCAAGTAATGGACCCTTTTTATCCCCATCCTATCCTGGGTTGTCCTTCTTCTGTCTGTCCCTCCCCAAGCCTCAAGTTTCAGGTGGAAGCTGGATTTCCAGTAATCCTCCGGGAAGCAGGAACATGGGAGGAACTCCTTGTGCAATTAATAGCGAGCTGCTTATCCCCAGACAATAAAACCTGTTATTTGAGGCCCATCATAAAGCGACTTGCTAGGACATGCGCTAAGCTCTGCCTTATCAAAACAAACCACCCTCGAAAATCTGTCAGTCCTGGGAACACGGGGAAGTGCTGGTTTCGCCACGTTGCTCTCAGATCACTCAAGAAGCGGTTGCTTCATTTAGCAGATGCCTCGTGTTGTGGGCTGCCATCATAGGCGCCAGCAGGTGTCAAGAAAACAGCCCGTGGATTGCAAGCAGGAAAAACAAAAAAAAGGACAAAATAAGCTGTGGTTTGTAATAATTAATAATAATAACAACAACAACATCGATAATAATAATAATAACAATAACAACAACATCAATAATAATAACATCAATAATATTAATAACATCAATAATAATAATAAATAATGATAATAATAATAATAAATAATGATAATAATAATAAAAAATAATGATAATAATAATAAATAATGCCTTTGATTTGGGTTTAACATTTGGAAGAGGAAAGCGGGTGGATTTTCTTAAATGGGGATGTGCTCTGGGCCAAAAAGCCCAAAGAAGCAAGAAATGGAATAGAAAAACATGAAATTCTTTCATTTTTCTTAGAAGGGAATTAGCCGTGGACATTCCTCACCCAGTTTTAATGGGAAAAAAAGGGAACTCATGGACGTAAAGCTGGATGCAAAGAATTAATTTGGAGTCTTGCCTTGATATGCCAGCAGGCAGAGCTGTGCGTCGGAATTTTGTTAAAAAACACCATTTTGGGGGCATAGCCAAGGTCTGAGGCTGTATTAAAAGCACCATGAACTTCATTGGCAATCCCAGAAGTGACACTGAAGGAATGGTGTTGGGGAAGATTAAATCTCCATGACAGGACAGGACGAAGAAAGAGCACCAGGAAATATCCAGCTTGTCACAACAATGACTTTTGCCGGGAAAAACCCACACCCTGACTTCTTCCAGGAAGACCCTTTGAGCACAGCGTTGCAAAACTCTTGTAGCTACGTGACGAGCTCGTACGAAGTGAGAGAACTCATAGATGCAAATCTCTTCTCTCATTCCTGCTGCATGACAAAGATCGCACCCTGGGCATCAACTCATGAAGACCTCAACACAAGAAGGACATGGACCTGTGACAGTGGGTCCAGAAGAGGTCATGGGGATGATCAGAGGGCTGGAGCACTTCTCTTTTGAAGAAAAGCTGAGAAATTTGGGGTTATTTATCCCTGAGAAGAGAGCAGCCTTCCTATAGCTAAAGGAGAGCTACAGGAGGGAGTCTTCAGGAAACGTGATGACAAGGATTAATGGCTTTAAACAAAAAAAAGGTGGATTTAGCTAAGATATGAGGAAGAAATTCTTTACTCAGAGGGTGATGAGGCACTGGAACAGCTTGTCCAGAAAAGATATTGGATGTCCCGTCATTGGAAGAGTTCAAGGCCAGGTTGGATGGGGCTTGGAGCAACCTGGTCCAGTAGAAGGTGTCCTTGACCATGGCTTTAAGTTCCCTTTGTACCCAAATCATTCCCCATTTCTCTGCTCTATGCTTAAGGAATTCTGTAAGTACTGGTCCCAGAAAGCCTGCAAGCTCATCCAGTGGGATCATAATTTAATACTTCCCCCAAATTTGATTTCATGATATGGAAAGTCCACTCAACACCCACCCCTGATCCATGTTTCACCCCACGGATCCACAATTTACTCTTCGGAGGCTGTATTTAGAGCTGGAGTAATGACCAATGTAACAGCACAAGTGAGCACCAGCACCAGAGCCTCAACCCCCTTACCACAATTCTTCAAAATTCCGCTTAAACCTCAGAAAAACTGCAATATTGCTGAGCTTTGGGTGGGTAAATGCATGGTGATGAGGTCAGCTCGTTGCAAGAGACTCCAACTGTTGCAATCAAGGAAGAATTTAAAAAAAAAAAAAAGCAGTACTGAAAGAAGCCAGAAAGAGGACCAGACAAAGCCACACCTAGCTCTCAGCCTCCCTGCCTCAATGGCCAGGGAAATACACTCGAAAATCTGAAACCCAGGCTTTTAATAGCAGGAGGGAATGATTTACTGTCACTGCTGTCACTTCTGCTTGATTGCATGGAGTTGCTCCAGCACGAGGAGAACCGAAAGCACTTCAGAAGACAAATGGGAGGTTTTTAACATGAGAAAAAAACACTAAGATGACTCAATCGCTATCAAGGCTTGCAAGGCTCTTCCAGCAAAGCGCTTTTCCAAGGAAGTCCCAGCAAAGGCGATTGCTTCTGCCCAGTGCTGAGCTCACCCCAAGGGCCACAAGACTGGGAAGTACCAGTTCTGGGTTTTGTTTCTGGAACTGAATCAGCAAATCGCCCCATTGACTGGAAAAGGCATGCGTTAGGCCTAAGACGAAGGAAAAGACCAAGTTTATAGGGCAAAAGTAGTCTGCTGTGGGTTTATTATCGTTATTTTTAAGATGTCCAGTCAAGGTGCCAAGATTGGAGTCCAGCCATACCAGGGTGTGATGAACCAGCCAAGGGACCTTTCTTCAGGCTGGTTTATGGGGTTATGGTCTCTTAGCTACACAAAGTTCTCGATTATGGAAAAAAATAATACCATTACAACCCATTTTTTTTTACCATTTCAGGCATCTCTTGGTTCCCTCTATGCTAACATGGCCAGGATCAACACAACTAAAATTATGCAGTAATTAAGAGTGAATTGTTGAATGACCACCCGGAAATGCCACCAGAAAGGATATTTTGGATGCTACCTTGCAGGTCTCCATGCGGCGAGAGATGAATGATAATATCTACGTATAGTTTAAGGGGGCTGCGGTGTAGGGGAGGAAAACCCAAGCCAGATGTTTTCCCAGTAGGAAGCTCTCTGTTCATCACAGAGAAGGGTGCGGTCACCTTTTGTCTGTTCTGATGATCACAACGATCACAACTCACAATAATGTCCCGTAAATTGATGGCTCATGACCAAACAGCCGGGAGTAAAAAAAAAAAAAAAAAAAAAAAAATACATACAGGGGAACTGAGTGTACATGCAATTGCTTCTTCCCCTTCTTATGACATACCACACTTTGCCCTCTTCCGGGGTGAACTGATTGGCAGAGTTGATTTTTTTTTTTTTTTGAGCCACCACCGCCGTGTTACCTCTTTTTTTTTTTTTTTAAGCCGGGGTATAAAATGAAAATAATCTCAGCGGAAGGCTTGCCTTCCTCCAGGAACCATGGCTGGGACGGGTGAGTGATTCTCCTCTGGACTTTGGGGGTGTCGTGCTGCTTTCTCCTGCTTGCCTTTTGTCTTTGGTGGCTGGGTTTGCCTACATCTGCTGGGTGCCTTTTGTGTCACATCCTGAGGGCACCAGCCTCAAATCTCCATTTCTCCAGCAAAAGTATTTCATGATCCTGTGCAACTTGCTCTGGCAGTGAGAGATCTTCCTCGCAAATGGGACTGGGATGTGCCCAGGTGCGTAGGGAGCAATGGAAACCCATCTGCAAGCTCAGCTTCCCCTAGGGACCTTCTTGGAGGACACCTCCTTGCATCACATTTGCAGTTTCTCCAGCTCCAGCCCCACCGTAAGGGCTGGTGGAAGGTGAAAATCCAGCAGATGGTTCCAAGAGCTCGCCCCAACACGCTTGCCATCCTCCCACGGGGACCCCGATCTCCATCTAGAGGATCTCCTTTGTCTTCTGCATCGGCCAGGACTGGTTGGGGTGGTCCTGTTGGGTGGGATGGAGGCAATAAAACCAATTACTTGCTCTTTGCTGCTACACAGCCCACCAAAACCACAACTCAAAGCAACATCCCTGGTCCTCAAGGCTGCTCAGGGCAGGGGCAGTGTTGGATCAAGAAGGTTAACGCAATTTTCGTAGCACGATACCTCTTCCAGCCATGCTTTAGGACAACAGACCTGTTGATAAACGGCCTAAACATAGCAGGAGCTTTCTATTTCTTTATTTTACGGCCACAATCAGCATCTTCAGGGAGGTGGATTGGCACTATGAGCTGTAGAAAGTCCTACTTCCAACAGCTCTGAGGCTCATTTGCAACAGCTACATTTTGACCCAGATTGTCGGCAGAGCTGGGGCTGATCCAACAAAAGCAGCGATTCCAACAGGGATTTTCCCTGTGAATAAGAATTACTCAAGGTGTGGTTTCAAAAGCTTTTTTTTTTTTTTTTTTTTTTTCTCCCTCCCTTCCTCTTTTTCCCTGGAAGGAAACTAGCAAGAGCTGGGGGAAGGAAAAGAAAATGAAAGTCCTCCTGTAGTTATTTTTGAGACTAGAAACAACAAAAATTAGAAAGAATCAGCGCGGTTTCTGGTCACCAAGCTTCCTTTCCCATCACCTGTCATCATCTATTTAATATAGATAATCTCTTCCTATATCTAATGGAATAGTGTGGTGGAGGGAGAAGACAATATCAGTGCATTAAAATTGTGATGTCATGGAGACAAGGGACAGTGCAGTCGGCACAACAATATATTTTTAAAAAACTTCATTAAATTCCTTGCACACATGCGACATTAAATTGCCATTCCTCATTACGGAGCCTTTCGAGCTTATTGAAAAAAAAGTCAAACTCATTTTGGAAACTCGCTACAACAGTTACACAATCAGAACATATGAAATAAAATCTCTCTGGGCTTGCTTTTTTTTCCTTGAAACAAAATTTGCATTCACTGGCCCTGCTAGACATCTGGCTGTGGTCGTGAGAGCCTTGCTGATGCCATGGATTTCACAATCGTGCAAGTGGATTTGAAAAATGATTTGCTGCTCATTCTTCTTTGGGGTTTGGGCACCGGTTTGTGCTGCCGCCTCCCTCCCCGGCTCTCAGGAATGAACTTGCATGCTGATTGCCGAGCGTTTTCGTTGCATTATTTTCCTCTCTTCTTTATTTCCTTCCCTAGTTCTCTTCCAAATCCTCCTGCTCGTGGGGCTCGTGAGCGCCAAGAGGTTTTCGAGTTTCCCTGAGTATTGCCTTAATGATAAAGACTACGAGGAGCTACTGGATATAGTCAGGCATGGGCTGGGACCTGCAACTAAACCAGCAAACGTGGTCATCGTCGGTGCTGGAATAAGCGGGCTCACGGCAGCGAAGCTGCTCCGAGATGCTGGCCACAAGGTGAGCGGTTGCACATTTTGTTTTCCTACCGTAAGGAATTCCCAGCCTGGAGAATGAAATAAATTTATTTTCAAGGGGAATAAATGCAGGAGTGGATGAGGTGGTGGGGGAAGGAAGGAAAAGCGAGCAGGCTCCAGGAATTTCGCTTGATTCAGGAGTGATTTTCAAAACTACAAGCAAGGACAAGAGGCGATTTTGGGGGGAAAGGGAAGGTATATGCAAAGCAGCTCATTCAGATGTTCCCCCAAATGAATGTAAGCAGCAAAAAGTAAAGAGATTGTGCCTGTTGGGTGCTTTTTCTCTGTTTCTGAGGGTTTTGGAGGTGGGAAAGACACAAAGCTGCCTTTCCCTGGCTGTTTTCCAAACCCTTCCAGCACATGGAGCAGCTGAACCAACGCTAGGACTCTTTCAGCAGAGAGTGGGTGCACAAATGGGATGCAGAAGTTAGGGACTGTGCTGTAGGCAGAGGGGATCTTGGCCAACACAAAGCATTTTGGATCCACATAGAGCTATTTTGTTATTTGGAGGGGACCTATCCTGCTCCATGGGGCACACAGGCTGCTTACAACGATGCCCGTGAGCTTGCTTTGTTTGCATAAAATCCATGAAGGCTGAAAACCTGCACCCTCCACCCCAAATTGCTTTTCAGGTTACCATTTTGGAAACCAGCAGTCGGGTTGGGGGGAGGATCAGGACCTACCGAGAGGAGGGACAGGACTGGTACGTGGAGCTGGGAGCCATGCGCCTGCCAGGCAAGCACAGGTAAGGTGGTGTCCTCCTTCCCTGCCCCAAAAAGAGGAGAAAAGAGGCTGGGGATGAGGATGAGGCTGAGGATTTGTGCTTGGAAATGGATAGAGAAGAGCAGGAGGAAGAAGCTATTTCCCCCATCTCTCCCCTAGAGCTTAGCAACTGCATAAAAATGGCCAAAAAAACACGTGGCCACCTGTGTTTGATAATTTTGACAATTATCAGAGCTGATAATGCCTATCTGCAATTACAAACGAACACATGGGCTTCCCCATAGTCGATGAGAAAGTTTCCTTTCCAGGTTTTTAATGCTTCAGTGGCAGGGTTTGGGTGTTTGCAAGCACCTCCCTATTCCTCTGCTCTTTCCTAGGCTGGTCCGTGAATTTATTAGGCAGTTCGACCTGAAGCTAAACCCATTCATCCAGACAGACAACAACACCTGGTACTTTGTGAACGGCGTTCGGGCGAGAACTGGGGAAGTGGATAGAAACCCCGACATCCTAAACTACGCGCTGCATCCCTCGGAGAGGGGCAAAAGTGCCAGCCAGCTTTATAGGGAGGCACTACATAAGGTACGTGGCCACGTGGAAGGGATTGCAGCAGCACCCATCCCTCTGGGTTACGGTGTACCCTCACCTGTCATCATATTTGGGGAAGATTAGGGTCTTTTTGGAATGAAAAGCAGAAAGAATCGAGGCTAGCTGAATGCAGAGTCTTTTCATACGCCTTCATTTCTCTGGGATGAATTCACCAGGAGTTGGAGGAAATAGAAAATGCCACACCAAGGGATAAATTCCTAAAAGGTGAGGCAGGATCTGCTAGCTCTAGCTCAGCCCCAGGGTTCCCAAATCCCTAGGGCTGAATGTCCCGGATGAATCCTACCAGAACAGAGCAGGGGGCAACGCTTTGGGAAATGTGCTTTCTCTCACAAGTATATCAATATTTCCTCTTCAGGCTTTCAGAGAGTTCCAGACTATGGACTGCAAGGAATACCTGAAAAAATACGACTCTTTCTCCACCAAGGTCAGTGGCTTGAGAATAAATTTAATTTCCCTGCTGGTGATAAAACTTCTTGAAGAAGTCTGAAGTGCTCTAGTCCCTTTCTCTGTCAACACTTCTAAGTGTTTTTTTCCTAACCAATTCTGCCTTCTGCTTAAAAAAAAATAGAAAGAAAAAGCAATCATGACTTGGAAGGAGTAGTTAGAGCTCTCTTATTTTCAAAGAGAGAAGCGCCTCTCTCCTCATGTTCCTTCATGATGTGTTTTGTAATCAGATGGAGCATCAAGCAGCAGGGCATGAATTTTGCCTTGGGCTGAGATAATAACATCAGGCCCTCTTTTCTTTCTGGCCTTTTTAGGAATATTTGATCAAAGTAGGAAAACTGAGCCGAGGAGCTGTTCAGATGATCGGTGACCTGTTGAATGAGGACTCTGGATTTTATCTGTCTTTCCTTGCCTCGCTGTGGGATTTTGATATCTTCTCCGGTGAGGAAAGGTAAGATGTCTCTTATAGGAAACCCTATTTTGTGCTGGTCCACAGAAAGTCACTGGAAGAGGAAATTTCAGTGACTTTTAGACATGTGATGGGGAATCCTAACTCCCAGCTTTTTTATTACCTCTAGGAGAGGTCAGGTTTTACATTTACTGAAACTCAACCTCTTTTCCTCACCTCCCTCTTCTTCCTTTCAGGTTTGACGAAATCACGGGGGGTTTTGACCAACTGCCCAAAGCCTTCCACAAAGCCCTGCCGGATGTCATCAAATTCAACTGCACGGTGGAGAAAATCATGACGAAGGGAGGCAAAGTTCGGGTGTTTTACCGTGCTCCGGACACCTTGGCCTCGAGTAAAGCAACCGCAGATTACGTCCTTGTCACTTCATCCGCCAAAGCCACCAGGCACATCAAATTCTTCCCACCGCTCTCTTCTCCCAAAACCCATGCCCTCCGCTCCATCCACTATGCAAGTGCCTCCAAAATAGCGTTGGCTTGCACCGAGAAGTTCTGGGAGAAGGACGGCATTCGAGGAGGCCACTCCGTCACCGACCGCCCTTCCAGGTTCATCTACTACCCCAGCCACGACTTCTCCAGTGGCGTGGGGGTGATCCTGGCCTCCTACACCTGGAACGATGACTCTCAGTTCTTCCTGCCCCTCACGGATGAAAAATGCCTGGATTTGGTGTTCCAGGACCTGGCGGACATCCACCGGGTGAGCAAGGAGTACCTGCAGTACACCTGCGACCGGTACGTGATAGAGAAGTGGCAGCTGGACAAGCACTCGCAGGGGGCGTTTGCGGCCTTCACCCCCTACCAGTTCACTGATTTCTCTCAAGCTCTCTTTGAGCACGAGGGCAGGGTGCACTTTGCAGGAGAGCACACTGCCCAGCCTCATGCCTGGATCGACACCTCCATGAAGGCCGCCGTGAGGGCCGCGAGCAACATCCATGATGACAGCGAGGCCCGGACGCTTGTCGAAAACGAGGAGCTGCTGGAAGATGAGGAAAACGAGGAGCTGCTGGAGGATTTCCTGGAGAAGGATGAGCTCTGAGAAGGCCCCGACCTTACTAGATGCCACCAGCAGGCTTTGAATTCACCCTTGGTGGCACAAACCTCTTCTCAAGGTTTCCTCTTTCCGACTCAGCAGCAGCAAGGAAAACAAAAACTGAAAAAAATGTGTCTGTCCTCAGACAAAAGACTAATAGGTTAAACACTTACGAGGAGAAAAGGGAATACTAAAAGTAGTCTCTGTGTAGGTTTCATGACTTGATATTACCCCTGCTCAGGTGTGCTGTGGTATATTCTAATTTATTTATGTATACAATACTTCAGGGAATGACTAAGATGTAATAAAGGCTGGTGTTTCTCAGTCCCTTGTCTCGGGTGCTTCCATCTCCCAGTAGAGAGAGGTCTTGGCCTCCCTTCAGCCATTTAGAAGCCCACCACCTTTCAGCTGGGTCTTGCTCCCTTTCCAGGATTTGGGAGATAACTCATTGCTTCTGAGCCATTTTCTCCTTTGTAGCACAACACAACCACTCCAAATCCCCCATGGACACCAGTCAGGATGATTTCTGCCTCCGTGGCCTCTTCTAACCCACCTCCTGCCAGTTAGGACAGAGTTATTTTTCCTCCTAGTAGCTGGTAGAATGCTATGTTTTGGCTTAGGATGAGAAGAGTGCTGATAACACCCTGATGTTTTATTTGTTGCAGAGCAGTGCTTACACCAAGCCAAGGATGTTTCAGCTCGCCAATGGGCAGGCTGGGGGTGCAGTAAGAGCTGGGAGGGGACAGACCCAGGACAGGTGACCCAAACTAGCCAAAGGGGTATTCCATACCATCTGACGTCATGCTAAACAATAGATAGGGGTGGCTAGCCGGGGGGAGGAGGGCCAGACTGCTCGGGGTTAGGCTGGGCATCGGTCAGTGGGTAGTGAGCAATTGCATTGTGCATCACTTGTTTCGTACACGTTATTAGTAGTAGCACTATTATCATCATTATTGTTATTATTATTTTCCTGTCTTAATAAACTGTCTTTATTTCAACCCACAGGCTTCATTTTCCCATTTCTCTCCCCCATCCCAGAGAGGGAGGGTGCGCAAATAAATGGCTGTGTGGTTTTTAGCTGCTGGCCAGCTTAAACCACAACCACCAGCAACAACACTTTGAAATACAAAAAAAAAAAAAAAGCTAATTGGTATCAGCTTCCTTCCACCTACTCTAGAGCTCTAACAAATAACCGTGCTGTACCAAGATAAGCGGTATGATGACCTGGGATGCAAGCTTACTCTTTCAGTCTGATGCAACACCACGCGTGTAATCTCAAATCAGAGCAAGTTGCATCACGGCAGAAATGGGACCAAAAAAGTCATCAGCACCTTCATGAGCTCAGAAGAGAGCTGGCCATTGATGTGGAGCATCAATTCCATTGGAAAAAGTATATTTAAAAGTTGAAGCATTAAAAAAAAGGGAGAAAAGAGGGAGATTGTACCTGGTTGCTTTGTTGCAGCACCTCTGATTTTTTTTCTTGCGTTGTTCCCATCCTTTAAGGGTAAATTAACTCCCTTCTCCCCAAAATTGTTTTAGCAAAAGCAGATGCTTTATTTAACCTTTCGGCTCACATTTTCAGCCTAAATCAGACCTGCAGGCCCTTGTTATGGGTATTTTATCAGGACACAGCAACAGCTGGTGGCTCCTGAAAGGCTTTGCATCCACCCCCAGCAAGATAAAGCCACATTCCATAGATGCTCCTCCAGAGTCAAGTGGCCAAATAACC